GCAATAATTGTTGTTTAAGAAGTCGCTTAACGAAATATGGGTTTAACGCACATGCGCGAAACGTAACAGTGGGTTCATTGTTTTCTTGAGAAATTTTACCAATTTCTGTACGCTGCACAATTATGTAAGTTTTGCATTCCCTTAATAATGGCGAGGTTCAAACAATATATTAAGAGAAAATCTGATCGAAATCTCAATTAGAAGTTTGTTTTATTTACACCTATTTTCGGAATCCTAAAATCAATTCTTAACAATAAAACATCCAATTGATATCGGAAAGATAGTCTTAATAGTACTACAGTTCTAGAAATAATAATAATAATAATAATATATCGGAAAGTTATAAACAGAATAATGAAACTAATATATCTGCAGCATTGGTGGATATAAAAATGCAAAATCATGCTTTCCAGGCGAATTTCAAAATGAATGATATGAATATGTATTGTCGAAATGCATATATATGCATGCCGGTATATCTATTCTGAGTCAAGCTAAAACCGTGCTGCTCATGTTGAGAATGAATCATATTTTCCCCTATAGTTTTACATATGTACTTACTTACCTACGTAAAATATGTAAGTTTCTTAATGCAATTCTTTTTGTTGTTATTGTTATTGTTGTCGTCGCCGTCGCCGTTGTTTTCATTATAGTACGAAAAAAAAGCTACTAATCATATGGCAACAAAGCGATCATGCAGCGCACATGCATATCATACAAAAATAATTATTAAAAATGTTTTCTTATTAAATAAATAACAACATTTATCGTCATCGTCATACGTGTGTACGTATGTAAGATATGAATTGATATACGAATAGAGTAGGTTTTCGAATATGTGGGGATTTTACGATGTTTATGGGATTGATTGCAAAACTGATATTCAAGTACGAATATTTTGAACAATTTTTTAGGGCGGATATGTTTTAGTTAACTACGTACGTGATGTTGATAAAAAATTAGGTGTTGTCATATGGGTGTCCGGTAGGTAGATCTAGGATTTTGATTTTCAAAGTCGTTGTTTGAAAAAGTAAAATTTTTTCAGAATTAGGGAAACATTTGATACACAGAACAATTGCTTTCGCCTCTTCCAATAGCGCATTGGAATTCTTCATTCCATTCCTCTTTTAAGGGATAATTCTAAGAGCCTCTTCGTACGTATAGCGGAGAAAATTTCCATCAGCTATGACTTCTTTAGCAAATCTCTCATCTCATATATACATGCATATACTTTGTTACAAAGTAACTGATAAAATTAGTATGACATCGCGTCTCGAGGATAGCAATAAAGAATGTCGTCATTACAGCTATGAATATGTAAAATAAGAGGTAGACGGCCGCCTTCGATTCGAACGAATTTGAAATACTCGACAATATCTTACCTAAATTTGAAGTTCGACTTATCTCATGCCTTGAATCACATAATAAATAAATCTAAGGAACATTTGTATAGGAGCGAAAGCCATAACATATATATATATATATATATAAAAGATTTAGTAATTATGTTTGTATGTGAGTTTCAAACTTTTCTTTAGTTACGGTTTCAAAGAAATCAAACTCGAACCAAATCGTTTTAATATTTAATATTCATACCATAGCTAAGAGTATGTGCATAGACTGTCGCTACCAGTCCATAACTCGTCCCAGGCTAGTTAAAAATTTTATGCCTTCATCTGGTAAAACATAGATTGCCAGATCCTTAGAATATATACTCAAGATATTGTGAATATTAGCTTTTTTTAATGACGAGCGTACAAAAAAAAAAAAAAAAAAAAAAAAAAACTACTTGTCAAGTGTTCATATAAAATGTTATTGTATTTTGTTATATTGTCATTGTGTTCCATTCTGTCCTGCATAACTGATTGACTGACTGACTGACTGACTGACTGCTTGCCTGCCTGGTTGACCGAGTAAGGGCTCTTCAGTTTACACTGTAATCGCTGAATATTTTCTGCCCATTCCCTGTTACGCAACACATTCATTTGCAATAATAAAATCACGTATGTTGATGATGTTAGGCTTTAAACACATACACGCAGCATGCGCATACACATACACGTTTACTTTTACATTAATTTTCAGGTTTTTTCTGTCTTTTCTTCTTCTCAGTGACAATACAAAATTGCGATCACTGCTGAATTGTCGTGTGGTTGTATTAGTTTACAAAGGCGTTGAAGGAATGAAAACAGAATGCTAAACTTTCTTCGATTTGACATGTTGTTGCGCTCCTGTACGTTTGGTTTCATGTACGCGCGAGTAGTTTTGTACGATTTTTGAGTGCACACAAACATGAGGTAAAAAGGCAACAAAAACACATTCAGTAAACGTCATCAGAACTTGTATAACATATGAATAAGTCTATGTTATGTTTGGCTTAGTGCGAATCGCTTTCTACTCACCATACATCATAGGGTAATAACTTACTATTCACCTATTAATGAAATAAATAGTAACTCCCACTAGTGATATACAAATAATAGTATTTTCATAAGTCGTCTATCACTTTACCGATACATGGGCGTTAAAACGCTTTCTGTATACTAAGGTCACACGTTAACTTGCTCGGGGAGATCAACTTGCAGGTGTATAATACACGGACGGGGCCAATGAAAACTTTTCAAAGAAAATCTTTCTTCTGAACACTAGAAGACAGATCTTTGATTTAAGAGTTAATTTAATTATATTCATTTTTTACTCGATGGGGAAAAAAACAAAATTCTAAGAGCATCCTTATTATTCCACGTAAAAGTTCGATCTTATAATTGTGATCTGAGCAAAGCAACAAACGCAAGGCACACTGATGTATGTATTTACGTTGGATTAGCTTTTCTTACTACTCAAATTTATCCACGATATATAAATCGCCTGGAAGTGTCTCAACACGGAATGGTTGTAGAATTAACGTTAATTGAAGTTTTGATACATCACTCTTCTAATAATAGAAACGTAAAAGTAAATACATTCTCCCGTTGAACTAATTTGTAAGAAACGTACTTCAGCTTTCCCTAGGCAACGTCGGATTACATTACAATGCAGGCGATCATCTTAGAGAAGACGAACTAGACTAGATATGTTTCCTCGAATAGAAAAGCACTTATCAAATATGGGTGGGCGGAGGAAGCCAGCAAAATTAATTACTCTACAATTGTTATCGAAAAGGCTAGTGTTCTTCTATTGTTTTCTAACTAAGATTTTTAGGAGACGACATTTCAGAAGACAATGTTAGTTACTTTGTTTTGATTATTAGGCATTGATGTAAGAAGTTATAGGCTCGTTGGTCAAGCAATCGTCCGTTCCGTTGAGAATATCCCTCATACTGATATAGGAGATCCTTCTGTAGCGCTAAGCGACTTGCCCGCGGAAGAATGTTTCAGAGCCTTGATTATGGGCCCGGCTGATGCTGAAGACTACAATTAAAACGCAACTGAAACCAAATGAAGTTTTTCGTCGCGAGTATGGAGATGTTACGAACATTTGATGAATTAATTATAGCCTTAAAAAGCCGCACTATATGAAACCGCGCATTCAATTATCAGACCTCAGCTTAGGCATCCCGTCAGCTTAACCGAGGATAGATATTCTCATATGCACGAAATTCTTGTCTGAAAGGTTGTTTTGTTAACAAAGAAGAACGAAATTTAACGAAGGATATCGAATTTTTAGATCTTGTGATGATTTTATAATTTTTAAAATAAAATAATGGCTGCCACATGCTGCGATGAAAGGGTCAACTACCAAGCCATTTGCTGGCGGGTTCTGGTTCCAGCACAATTTGATCATTCGTAGTTGCAGCTATAGTGAGTCGGGAGCAGTCACCGGTTGGGCATAAACGCATTAGACTTCGGCGATTCCCTATCTCTCTGTTATACGTATAGGAGACATCCCGTGAGTGATGGGCAATGGAAAGAAGACAGACAGATGAATATTTTACTATACATTCTGGTCGGGAATAAATATATGTCAGTTTATGGGGTTTTGAATGCGTATATTTCTATGCCTTACAATGATTTTGCAAATCTAATGTACTCCTATGATGAGTAAAAAGCAATTCCGAGAATTATGGAAATTAGCGACAGCGGTGCTCAGCGATCAAAGAAGTGTTTGTGTGAGGTATCCCTATCCTATATTCGCCATATAAACGATTATTTGCTATTTTATTAAGCAAGACTTGATTTTATTTATTCAACGCCAGTGAGCGTTCGCCGTAAATGCTTTTAAAAAAACTATGTAATTATTAGCAATAACTTATTTGTAATTTCCACGTTGTTGTTGTGCAGTAATTGCAACTAAAGAGTACATTAAATATTTTACAATTTTTTTTATTTTTTTCTTATTCTACTTGAGTGCAATGTGACCGGCACAAAATTTGAAATTCATTGAGAATTTTGCTGTCTATCGAAGAAAGATTATTGGAAACGAAATGTGATTAACTCTAAGAATTCGCTCATAGGGAGTATAAAATTCGACCCTGCCGTAAATAGTCTATACATTTACGTTTATTTACATTTAATTTCTTTGATGGAATGTTTTAGTCGTCGCTATTAAAAGAAATTATTTACGAGATATTAAAAGGCTCGATTTCCGGCTGACGATGGTAATAAATATTATATCGTTCGTTAAATATCAGTCAACTGATTCATGATAGATTTTAATTGGTAAAGATTTTCCGGCTGCACAAACTTAATTGCGTTTTAAATGATTTTTTCCATAAATTTTCGCCGGATTTCCCCAGTAATTCATTTTTGAAAGAAGAAACATTTTTTTTTTTTTTTTTTTTGCTATCAGCTGAAGTTAATTTATTGATTTGCAATTATACATAAAAAGAACGTACAGGCATATACGCACTCGAAACTAGGCAGACGCGTCTCTGACATTAGATTAAGGTTATCGCTAAAACGCGTACATTCATTGATTTGAATGCCATTACGCCTGCCTAAGTTTCTTCGTTAACTCGTCAATATTTCTAAAATTTTATGAAAATTTCCTCCATAACTTACCTGGATCGTGTTGACTATCCGTATCCATAATTTCATCTGTATTTCCAATAGCCAAGTTAATGCTAGTGTTCACGTCTTTCGGATCCTTTGTTTTCGTCTTATTCATCATTCATGGCTGTCTCACTTGAGTCAACGTTTTATTAGATAATTCAACTCTAAATGGACAGACGGACAATCGCCTGCAATGATAACAATAATAATCTTGCTTTAGTTAATCAATTTTAATATCTATTTAAAGAGATTCATTATCCTCTATGTCTATTGTTAGAGACTTCATTTGTTTCTCTTACGGTTTGTAAAAAAATGGTTTTTCTGTTCTATACGTGCAGCTCGTACGCAATGCTACCCATGCATTGCATTTTTTTTTACCGAAAGTCTGCATAGCCATCAAACCGCTGACCTGCCTTAAAATCATCATCACAATAATATTTTTACTAAGATACTACGAGAATTCATATATAAAAGAATTTACGAAACTTCAAGATTTTTATATTTCTATTTATAGCCGAGAAGGGAAGTGGCACTCAAGCTTTGCTTGAAAGTAAACATTTTTTACTATTTATATACAAATACAAATTTTAAATTAACTACCAATCGAATTGCGTTTCCATACCCTACACTATTTGCAGTGGAGGATATATTAAGTTTAGTATGCATGTATGCAATATCCAGAGTGGCTGCATTCGCTTCTATAATAATATTAATTTACTCAGAATCGTTGTCTAAAGTCATCCCTTCGTCATTCCTTCCTGTTCAACGGTTGTCCATGCATTTTTGTGTTCAGCCGACCATTTTGACGAAATTTGGTACGCGAACGCTAATGTTAAGCATTATTGAAAAAGGATTGGATCAAACCAAATTTGTAATCACTGCCAATCTGATACCTTATCTCGATTTCCAGCCGGAAGTAACACTAATAATCCATTTTGATATACTAAACTAATTTGAAAAATTTGTATGGAAAGGCCATATGTTTTTAACGCTCTTCTCTATAAAGATTATCTGGTTTGATTTTCAATATTTTGTGCTGAAAACTGATTCACAATAAAAATTTGACATGAGAGTTATTTGTAGCAAATTTGGAGTAAATCGATCTATTTTTTTGTACTCCACCCTATATATAAGGTTTCTCATGAAAATTAAACCCTTAAATGGGAAAAGGGATTAATTTTTAATAGTTCACTTCGAAAATTGATTCACAATAGTAATCTGATATAGAACCTAACTGTATCAAATTTGTATCATATGGGCCCATTTTTGGGATCTCTTCTCATGAACCCTTTATATGGAAAGCTTTTATATGGGAAAAAAATCTAACTTTTAAGATTTGATTTTGTGACAAAAATTGATCTGTAATATCAATTCGACTTGAAAATGAAGCGTACCATATTTCGACCGTAAAAGTTCACTTTTTTAGTTCACTCTTTCTATAAATATTCTCATGAAAAGTAAGCTTTCATATGGCGATAAAATCTAATTTGTATTGTCTTTATCATCGAAATATGTGAAGAATAATGAAATCTTTAAAGAGAAAATTAAGGCAACATCACGTCACATTTTATGCGTCCTCCAATGTAGACGTTTTCATGAAAGTATATTTTTACATGAAAATGAGGTAAAATTTTTGATGTTCTATTACGGAGAATAGTGTAGGCTATGTGAAGGTCGATGTTGACCGACTAGAACATTTTTACTTATTTGTGTTGTTTTTTTTTTTAATTGATTAAAATAGACGGGCCACCCATACCACCTCAGTTAATATACTTAATAGAATGTACTTAACTTTAATATATTTAATTGATTTCATATATGAATAAAACAATTTTTTATTGCAAGTATAGAGCAATGAATGCGATGCACTTTAGAAAATACATATATTTTTCTTTCGTGTAAGATTCTAAGTCGATTTAGCCATGCATTTCTGTTCACCTATCTATCGTGTTTTATCGAAACGCTGATTATGACAAACAGCGTTCTAGCCTTGCTAGCTACTGTCTAAATTAAAGCAATCGTCTAACTCAAGTAACTGATCAGAAAACAATTTAAATAGACAAAAAGTGAGGTCGTGGTCATTTGCCATTATCTTTCTGTAGTTCTAATAGAAGTTATTGCGTTGTGGATGCAATGAATGTGGAGCAGATTAGTATAATATTTTTAAACCTTGCACCATTTATGGTACAAGGGTAAATCAAGTTTGTGTGGATGTATACAACGCCCAGAAACACTTGAGATAGACCCACCTTTTATTATACCGATCGATCCCGAATCACTTACGTAATTCATTTAAGCTGGCCTGTCCGTCTATCCGTCTTGTTATCTTACGCTATCTTTTAGGTATTTTGCTGAAAATTTTGATACACTGAGGTGTTTTGGATCCAGGACGAATGCTATTAAAGAGAATTCCGATCGGACCACTTTTTCGACCACCTCCCATATAAAGCCTTATTTTGAAAAGTCATTATATGAATAAATGTGGGATGGTGTAGAAAGTTTAATGGTGTGCCGTGGCCAACTGTAGGGCTTTCATGTTTTTAGATAAATCGGTATTTGTGACTGTTGTCTGTTAGAACTACATCTTGAAGCAACTCGAGTGCATAACTCACTTAACAAGAAACCTTATGAAAATAATTTTTGGATACAATTTTTACCAATGTTTAGAAATTTTTGTAATTATACAGTATCATAATTGTACAGTGTAATAATGGAAGAAAACTTGTATGAGGTGTCGTCGCAATATGGCGCCCTCAGTACATCTCCCCGTCGTGGCAGCAAAAAACAGTTTATGTTATCTTACTAATCTTCCAGTTCACCGGATGTTCTCAAAAACCACTCGACGATTGTTTTATCGGAAGACATTAAAACCTCTTTTTCTTCTTCTTTTTCTTTGGAATGAGGAAGAAATCAGGCCCCTGTGCGTTCGGCTATTGTTATTCTTTTATGTTTTATGTTGTGGAATAAACCTGTTGTTGTGAATAAAGCTTGTGCTTACACACATTTATATGTATATATATATATAAATCTCTTTCGCTCTTCTTCTTCTCTAGTTTATAAATTTTCCATTACTTTCGATAGACTGTAGTAATTAATAAATTGCAACTGGCGTTACGATTTAAAATTATAAAAATTATTTATATTTGTTTTTTTTTTATGTAGAGACAAGGCAAACGTAACTGTTTCTCACTGCTTATATAAACGACGATTTTTACGTTCTGATAACTCGTAAATAATAACAGCAATATCGAGTTTATTGGGGAAAGAGTTTTTGCTTTTCAACAACATCGCATGATATTTTTTAATAATGTTATGGGCATTATTCCTAAAAGTAAAATAAACAAACACTTGTATGCAAAAGCTACAGCAACAATTGTAAATTGTTAATAACGAGATAATAGTGTAATAAAAATTTTTGAAATGCCTCAAGAAATTGCCGGCTTATAAGTGCATGCCTTGTTTGTTTGTTTTAACAATTCTGACACAAATATGAAAAGCATGTGAGGTTAGACCCCTCTTGCTTAGTGCATTTTTGTTGTTGTACTTGTTTATTTTTAAAAAACTCTTGAATTGTGTTAAAGTTGTGTTTGCGAATTTCAAAGAAAGTAAAAGTGCTCGTTATGCGCATTGTTGTTGTTCTTGTTGTTAACAAGTGTTAATATGATACTTGATATTCTTTTTGGTCATAAATTGATCAGAAAATCAGCGAGAGGAACCGATGAGAAATTTGCATATACTTGTCATGGGAAATTGGTTTATGGACAAGGAGCAAGTCAAGGTTTTTCCGAAATTTATTTATTTATTTATTTAATTTAAAGAAGAAAATCTTATTTACCTGTCTATAGAGTTTATTTCGATTGTGTTGTGTTCATTAAAGAAGTGAACTTTGATCACGTTCCGATAGACAAACGTCATTTAATAGAATTTTTTTTTTTTTTTTTTTGGTAAATGCTTGAAATACTTAAATTTGGGCGAAGATCCAATTTGTAAAAAGTGTGTAAGCATGCATCGATTTAATTTAAGAGATTATTCAACATATGCAAGAAAACAAAACAAAACAATTTCGATAGCTACCCTAAACTAAGGTCAGAGCCATTTACGTAAGCAGTAAAAAAGAGAAAAAATGCAAGTGGTGGTGGGTGTGTCTGTCTTTTAGCATTTACGATTGGTTCTTGACAAACTTAACATATCACTTATGTAACTTGACAAAAAAAAAAAAAAAACCAAAAAAATACACAAACAAATATATATATATATATATATATATATATGTGTCCTTTTTTCTTTTTTTTTCTTCTTTGAGAAAGGCATTGCTCTGTTGTGTTGGCAATGCCAGTTTTTCTTTGCTTACTGCGTATGTCAATACTGTGTTGCACAGATTCAATTGCTCTTAATTTTTTTCTGGTCTCATTGAATTGATTTAATAAAAAGAAAAATGCAAAGACAATAAGTTTTCAACTACAGAAGCAAACTAATTTGAAAATGTTTGCTCAATTTATATTCCTTGAAAATTTAGTAGATATGTTAGTTTTGTTATGCTGTTTGTAACACATGCAAACGGTCAAAAGAGACATAAGTGCCGTGGCAAACATATGTCTCCTCCTTTCTCCGATCACACTACCTGCATACATTAGGCAAAGACTTAAATGTAAAGCTCATTTAATTGTATTGAGATCCTCTTAGCGAAGGTCATACAAGTAGCCTCATGAATCATTCACAAAAATTTACAAGATAACATATTAAGATTGTCATCTACAGAGAGCCGAAAGGACATTACTTTAACAGATCAGCTTTGCTATTCAAGTAAATGAAGAATGTATGACAAGTAGGTGGCCATGAAAACTTTTTACAAGTTTCAAGCATTTTCGCTAACCGAAGACCGAAATTAATAACGCTTTGCGATCGATCTCTAGTTATAGGAGTAAGCAAGAAAACAGTGCATCTTTTTGTAATAATTTTGATGACTTTTTATCAAATTTTGTTACTCCTGCGCATTAAACACAATAAAAGTCTCTAAAATCAATTTTGTTACAAATTTAGGTTGTTAAGTCACGAAATTCGCTTTAAAAAATAATGCTTACGAATTGTGGCGCCTCTGTAATGCTACTGAGAATACGACTCTTAAAGAGAGTTTTTAAATCTAAGAAAACTCTTTGTGAATTTATATATATATATATGACCAAAGTCAAGTCTAGATGCGTTTACATACGATTAATCTGAAAAAAAGATAAGCCACATTATTTGCATTTAAGAATCTGGAGAGCTTGTAAAGCGAGGTAGCACTCTTAGGATATCCTGCAAAATATGAATGATAATTAGTTTGAGCTCTGCTATCGAATTAGCTTGCATTGTCTATTTCATGCCTATCAATATCCCGATTATCATAAAGATCTTAGCATTTTTGTCTACAGTGTAGCTACAAAAAATAGTTTTCGCACACAAAAATAAAAGGCATTTTTTATGCGATGAATAGGGACCGCATAAACGCACAAAAGCAAGTTTGACTGTAAATTGTTGTTTAAAAACCCATCGGCTCAGTCGAATCGAAGGATCAGCTAAGTCGGGATAAAAGTTCGTACGTTTAAAAATACATTGGATAATCCAGGATTAAAGATTAAATGCTAAATTAAAAAAAAAAAAAATGTTTAATATATATGAAAATATATTGAAGCTTGATTTTTTTTTTTTGCTATAATTGCCGAGTGCTTTGCAGTTTTCCTCATCGATCGTCACATTATCCGATGAGAGAAGGATATCTTCTTTTTTCGTTTCATCACACTCTGCTACCGATGGGCAAAGAAAGTTATTTTTGAGTCGAAAAAAACTACTTTCAGCTTAGGAGGAGAAGAGTAGTGAGTGAAAAGTGAGTCACACACAATTCCTTATTCTAACGGACCAATTGAACTAATGTAAATCCAACTAGGTGATTAATCTTGGATGTAAATATATAATGTCTGATGTCCTTTTTTTAACCTTATATGCAAAAAAATTTAGATTTAACAAATCGCTTTACTCTAATGTATCTGCTTAACTGCAAACCTCGTAGGGTCGAATGTTTACACAACCGTTATTAACTTGCCTGCGTTATTTGATTGCAACCTCGGACCAAACATCCGATTGTTGAATGAGTTGTACGTAGTATCCTATACGTCACATGCATTTGAAGCTTGACAGCACTTTGCAAATAATTGTAAAAATTAATAACTCTATTACTACTTACTACCTATTACGAGCACAAAAGACGACCCGAATTGGCCACGAGTAAGACGAAATCAAATAACTTCTAATAAAAGTTCATTCAAAATTGATACCAAAGGGCTATAAAAAACAAAAGGTTCCTTTGAAAAAGTACATAATTATCAGAAAATATTGATTCATTGTTAGATTGAATTGGAATTGGAAACTCGACTATATTCTTAAGTAAGTGCTTCATTTTGGGATGTACGCTTGGTCAGGAATCACATTTGATGATGGTATTAATATCATAAGCAGACTCGTAAGAGGTAAACAGAATATCAACTTCCAGGATTCATATCGAAGAGAAAATGGATTTTTCTTTGCCATTTCTCCTATCAAAATGGTGATGGTTATGAAGAGCGGGAATGTCAGACCTAACGAAAGACCTCTTGGAAAACTGAAGAGAGCTAAATGGCGGGTCATATGTGCGCATATGATTTTTTATTGATCTAACTTTTCTTTTCGCATCAATTTAATTAATAAATATAATATTATTGGAAGCGATAGTTGCTCAAAATATTGGACAAATTGAGTAAAATGCGAATGTAAGATAAATGGCTTTTGTCTAGTCTAACATGCATCATCATTATCAAAATGTAGGTGAATTAAAGCACAATTTAAGACTATTGTCGAGAATTGAAAGCTTGGATCCCAATTGTTAGAGGATTGCTGCCTTAGCCTGACGTCTTAGGTATTTACCTCAGTTTTCAAATATTATTCCGATAATGAGCACTTCTTACATGGAATATTTTAAATGAGGAGCGATCTATAAAGGGTAGAATTTAAGGCTAAAAAGTGTATACTGCTTTAAAGCTTTGCAGTAATCACCATGATTTCAATGAATTATAAAACGGATATATATTATGATTTATGCACGATAGCACTTTTAGATTCTAAACATTCATTGAACATAATATAAACTAAATTGTGCACACAGCGTGCGCTAAGAAAGTATAATTTTTTTATTTATTTCTTTATTTTAAAGTGACATAAGTTCTTTCGTGCACTTTCTTTGCTGAGTGTTAACATTTTTCTTCAACTCCACTTGCTTATGGACCTTCATCAATAAGCCGGTATGTAAACTAGAGCCGGCTAGATCGACGCAAATTCAATTCTTTGATCTGTATACAGCAATATGCACCAAAATGATTTTTGTGCTATTAAGTAGAAAACTGAAATTCGGGACAGCTTCTGATGGGGAGTACAAGCGTTACAAACTAATTTCTGATGAACGCGTTTAAACTCATTATTACGTGATGAATAGTCATTATCGTTCTTAAAGACTCAATTAACTTGAGGAATAACGATTCGTTAATGGAGCCAGGCATGCGCTTGTATCAAACAACAACAAAAAAAGCATGCAGCTAAATTGGCGAAAATTGTTTACTTGCGTACAGAGGTATCGTTAAAATATTTCTCACCGTAATCAAAGGCATGAAACATTTGGCAAAATTAGAGCACAACAGAGCGGCAGCACGGTTTAAAACGAACACAATTTTTCTTGCAGTTTTTTTTTTGTTTTTCTTTCCTTTTCTTTTGTTTTTTTTTTCTTTTTTTTGTTTTAATATTTCTTTCGTAAATTGTGTTGAATTGAAAAAAAACTGTTTAGCATTTTCTTAATTTTCGTTGAATGAAATTTTGAAAATTTCTTAAAACTCACTTTACTTGATTGGATAACGCAAAACCATTAAATTGGACATGCAGTAAGACACATCGCAACATGAAACAAAATATACTAATAAAAATGTCGCTATCGCCACAGTTGACTGAACTTTAAAAACTTGGACCAGAGCGTAGCGTGTTGCGCTATTGTCTCTCTAACGCTCTTCTAACTGCCGTTTGCTCACGTTCACGTTTCAACACAAAGCATTTGTTGTTGTCAGTTGCCGCTGACGATTTTACATTTCTTCATTTACTATCTATCGCTTTATAAGCTCGATTCACCAACACATTTAAATAAAACATTAATCAATCGAATTTTATTCATAAATTGCACATGATTTTTTCCTTTTAAACAATTCCTCCTTATTCTTAATATATTTTTGCATATAAGAAAAGGAAATGTATTGAGAATGGAATTCACACCAAGTTGTGTTGTAGAAATGGAGAAAAAAAAAAAAAAAAAACAAAAGAAGAAAATTAATCGAGCGGTTTTCTTCTTCCTTGGTAGATATGATAGACGCGTACGAGGAACTCACTCGCGCAACTTACGCAAAGTTAAACGTTCAGTTATATTAACGATCGTGGTGTGACTTCTTTCCTAAACATTTACATAGGCAAAATTATACAAAGTTATATACACATGTAATCGCACGCACGCACGTACATGTGCACGAGAATACCGAGTTATTTCTTTCTGCTCCTTACAATTTCTCGTTTTTCTCTTACTCTCTATTGCCCCCTACTCTCTTTCTCTGCATTCACGGTATTTCTATAAAAAAAATAAAAAAATAAAAAGTGTTGTCCCCCATATAGAGATTTGCAAATTAAACGAAGTATGCTTAAATTGTTTGTTTCGTTGTTGTTGTTGTTGTTATTCTTGTTGCTGTTGATAGTCAATTCACTGTAAATACAAGCATGTTTTTTTTTTTTTTCTTTCTTTTCGATATTTTTAATGGATGCAAACCTTTTATTGTTTTACATATTTATGCGAAATATTCGTTTTACGAATTGCGTAAAGAAACAGAAACACTGAAAGAATCAAGAAATGTCAAATTATTCACTAGACACTGTTTTCGCTTTTGGATACTAAGCCAATTGTCTTACTTTTGTCAATTGTAAGCACAATGATCGCACGAACGATGTAAACGACAACAAAAAAGAGGAAAAAAGTACACAATAAAAATGATTTCTAGCTATCAACAGTACATGCTCGCAATCAAAGTCGAAACACTTACTCATTCAATAATAAACTTAGCCACTTGTAGTCCCCGTATATGCGAATATATGGTATAATGTGTATATCTGCAACGTGTTGTTTTTGTTGCATTTGATACGTCTCCTCAAATCATTTTTCCTTCTCTTCTCTTTTTTTTCTATATCGAAACTCAAATATATCCATGTGTGCATGTGTATGCTTCAATAAGCTATTGTACCATCTATCTATCTCTATTACTCCTATAATGTTTTGCTAAAAATTCGAATAAATTTCTTGCTCCACAAAATATCATTTCATCTTCGAGAGTAACAGAGATAGATGAATGTTCGTATGGATACATTAGTAGGATATGATCGTTGGATACAAAAACTTACCAAGAAACAATTGCCTAGTTTTGGGGAGTAAAATAAAAATTAAAAGCTTTCTTCCTTTTCATTTTATTTTCAAATTCTTGTACTTTTGCTTTACGCCTTGTTTCTATTCTAGATGTGATTCGATTTTGTTTGTGTGTGTGTGTGTTGCATGTTTTTAAATAAAAATCTTAACATTTTACTTGAATAATTAATATTCATTCAGCTACTACAATTAACTAATTAAGAAGCGATAATTTTGGACTGGAGATTTTGGGCTGTTTAATGGCTCTTATATATTATGTACATGTAAAGGATTTTTATTTGTATTTTATTTATTTAAACTTAACTTAAAATTACACATAATACATTTTATTCGCTAACAGACACCTTCATTCAAAACAAACTCTCAACCACATACATTAATTAAAACATAAAATAAAATCAAAAGTAATTATCATCTTAATTGTCGTATGTCTTCAAATGTTCAAGGTTTCTTTTAATCATTACGTTTGGATTGATAGGAATTGATTTTTTCTACGACGCAATCTAAAGCTGATTGGATATTATGGAACACTGGTACACCTTGACGTTTCGCCAGATCGATAAGATAGGAGCGACCGCGATTGTAGTCCTTAATGGCTGCAGGAGTTAACTGTACAAAGGGTAATTTATATTTTTTAAATACAATATTAATAGCAAAAAAAAAAAGAAAAGCGAACGAATACCTTTTCATTGCCTATTACGCAATTATCTGGCAGCATTTGTACGGCTAAGACTACATTGTACATTAAGCCGATGCAGTGGGCTGCCAAAGTCATTGGTGCTAAAGATCGTGTTTCGTTGGTGATAACGAAAAGCAATACTCGACTCGAGTCTAATAGAGCGGGATTGAAGAGATTCGTGCGTACAGGCGATAGAGACCAACTTAATGTTTCCTCGCTTATAGTTGTTGTCACTTCTTCAGTGTTTGTTGCTTTATGAGCACTGGTGGTGCGGTATTTTCGTCGAGTCCGCATAAAATTACTCGCTGTAGCATTGGGCTGAGCCTGCGCTTTATGTAACGACGAATTTTCGGTTTTTGGTTGATCTTCGGACCAGTTTAGTTCGCGGGGATTTAAGCTTTCGTGTAATGAAGGTAAATGGTATGAAATACCATTAGCCTTCAAACAAGGTATGGCAAGATCTTGTCGCCATTTGGTGCGTAAATAACAACTGCCACCCAGGTAGACTTCTCTAAAATCTGGCGCTATGTAACTCTTAGATGGCTCACAACAACTAATTGAATTGATTGAGCTGCTGCTAGAAAACACGGAGTCTGTGGAATCGCTTTCTTCTTCATTCGTAGCCATATCTTGCGCTATCGTGTTGTCTTTATTATTAAGTAACGTCAAATTAGCTATGGGAGCCGAAGTATTAGATTGCTTGGTTAAAGTCGTGGTTATGGCAGTAGTTTTAGTAGTAGCGACATTTAAAAGAACTGATTTTTTGCTTGGTTTACCTAAATGAATTTGTGAGTGAGATTTTAAAGATTCCGCAGGCTGGGGTGACGAAGTACCACTATCGCGATTTGATGACTCGCTTACATTTTGCCCACCTTCTTCACTGCTGGACACAATGCCATTGATAGATATTGGCGATGCATTTTTGTTCGTAAAATAGTTAGTAGCTAGACGTCCCTCTCCTAATTTGAAAATAATTATAAATATGAGGTCCGAGCAATTAGTTTTCACAATTTTTTATAAACCAACCTTGCATATTTGTCAAATAAACTGGTGGCGGGGGAACATTAATACCCTTTATGGGCGAAATACAACCACTTTCGTGAATTTCTTGCTGCAACACTGACAAATAAGCGAATATAACACAAAATAAATTAAAATCGATTAAATCACTGAAATCGCTGAAAGCCTGGCCGTCTGATGCGGTTGCAGCATTTTGTTGAGCAACTGATGATGTTGAATTCATATTAAAATTGGGAGCATTTGCGCCGGTGGCTTCGATGTCCTTTAAGGAACTTAACGACTCTCGTTGATCGCTTATAATTTTAGATAAATTATCTAACTTTACTAGACTTTGCGTGTAACCCAAGTACAAGAGAGCACGTTGGCACTGTTCAATAGTAATAACGTCATAGACAGGATTAACGCGATCAAAAGCACCACGCACGACGCTGCAATAAGGACGACATCTCGTATATACATCTACGCATCTACGCATTATATTTAATTCAATATCACTTACATTAAAATAGACGCTATATTTGTTGGCGGATCTCTGAAACCGGCTAAAACATCTTTTGTGCGTTGTAAGCCCGACGGGATGTTGTCAAGTACTGGCAAGCCGCGACGTGTGACAAGTTCACGTAAGATCAATTGATTGCGTGTAAGGTCAATGTATTCTCTACGAGTTCATTAAAAAACAATCACGATCGGGAATATAAAGCACAGATGGATTTTAACTTACTGTTGCGATATGTGTTCGTTGAGTATACGTTGGCTGGGTTTATACGGATGTAGTACCAAGACAAGTTGTTTACAATTTTGACCAGCTATATGAGCTACTTCGATAGCACCAGCCGATGCTCGAGTTTCCGAATCCATAACAAAAAATAAAACGCGTGCCTTTTCTTTAGCACGATGTTCGAGTTCAATGAGATCGGGAGTCCAATCAGAAACTTGCTAAAAATGCACAAATAATTTTTATAATATTCATTAAATAAAAAAAAAAAAAAAAAATGACGCGACTACGTACTGGATTATAAAATGAAATGCCCAATTTTTTCAAGGCGGGTATTGCAACATCAGCACGCCACGTAGTGGGATTGCATGAGCCGCCTAAAAACACTTCAACCGGCGCAGACGTTGAACCCGAATTAGTCGTTGTAGAATCAAGTTTCTTACAGTCTTCTACGTTACTTAACGATTTTGTACTACGCAGCTCACCCCCAGAGAAACTACATTTGGTTTTTGCTTCGTCGTCGTCATTGTAGTCTCCTTTTGTGCCACCGCTTAACAAATTAACTTTGTCACAATACCCAGGCGAAGAAGTACCGAAGGATGATGTCCTGCAAAAGCATAGATGGTATGACATTGCCTATATTCTACTGTTCCATTTTAAGTAATTAAAACGCTTACCGAAATCTTTTCAAATCAGCTGCTAGAACGCAAAATTCTCCGAAAGTTAGACCATTCGAGTGACGGCTACTTTTACGGGCTAACATTTTGGCAGTTTGCAACATATCGCTAACTATTTTTATATATCGTAACGAGCAGAGTAGAAGAATAATAATTAAGAACATTTTATGTGGGCTAATATATGAGCTATCACTTACTTTGCTCGTCATTTGGATGAAAACTCAATTCTTGGAATAATTCTTGCGTACGTTCCGCTGGCACTATATTCCATCTGGCTTTAGCACGCCAAGCAGCCAACACTTCACTGATGAACGATGAATATGAAGGAACATGAAAAAAGATATGAGGAAAATTTTATTGTGGCACATATTTCTAAAAAAAAAAACAAAAAAAGCTACGCATCATATGAAATATTCACTTTACAAGAGAATCTGCTCCTTGGAAGCAATTCGTCTGCAGGCTAATTTCAGTATTGCAACACTCAAGTACAACAATAGTAATAATAAAAATCAACAACTGCATTATATTTTTATTTGGTCGGCCAACACTACAACTACGCCAACGTTTTCTTCTGGTACTTGTTAGCAATTTAGATTTTCTTCTTGTTTACTTAACGCCTAGGCGTCACTGCGTGAATGAATGCATGAACACTCGAGTTAAAAAAAAAAAACAAAAAATACAAAATTAAATCATCATTACTCTCATCATTAAGATTATCGACAGAATAACGTAATCCGACAAGAAACGGTTTTGTAATACCCATAAAATCCATCTGTTCGCTGCGGCAGTCCGCTAGATAGAACACGAATAAGCGTATGAGTAAGTAAACGAGGGGGAAATACGAAAGAGTTTTGTTGCTTCTGTTGATCTATATATATGCACCTAGTAGAGCAGTAATAAAATTGTAAAAATTGTTGTTGTAAAATGATGTTTAAAATTCGCAAACAAATATGATTTAGAGCTTCTCGTATGCAATGAATGGTTAAAGTAAGTAAACAAATTGTAAAACAATTGCGCCTCTTTCTTAGACATAATGATGCGATCGATGTCTTAACCCAGTAAGCAATCACGAAACTGAGAAGAGCTTGTAAATGCCAAATGAAAAAGAAAGAAAAAATAAAAAGACTTGTGAAGCTTATCAGCTTTGTAACGGAGATCAGTAGAGGTTAATTAGCGCCTTACTAATCAACTGCATTGGAATTGGCGTCTCAGCGCGTGTTATAATGCAAAAGACTGCAAGATGAAAATTTCCCATGGAAAATGAAAAATGTGTTTAAAGAAGCATTTAATATTAACTTGATAGTTGCTGCATTTCCAACAGTGTGGGCGCTAAGGTGGATGCACAAATTAATCTATGGCAACGTACTGCAATATTTGAAAAATATAAGAGCAAGCATAACATAAGATTACATATTATTACATGTTAAAAAAAAAATCTGCAAATTAAAGGCAGTGGCACTAGCTTTCTAGCTTATCATAAGCCTAGTTAGCCTATAAAGACATTATGGTTTGCCTGACGTTGTTGCTGCCTATTAATCGCACATACATTTATAGTAAGAAGTATTTTATACTTGTTTTATTATACCCTACATTACTTGTAGCACAGGGTACACTATTTTAGCGCGCTCGTATGTAACAGCCAGAAGGGCTTAAGATAGACCCACCTTTTATTATACCGATCGATTCAATGTCATAATATGAATTGATCTAAGCCTGCCTGTCCATCTGATGCCTGTCCATATAAATTTGTGGTCAAGTTATAGCTCGTTTTGGCTCAAGCACGAACGCTATTGAAAATGTTTCGGATTGGTACCGGGGGGGGGGCCGGTCCCCTCCCCACGGTATAACGCCCTATTCTGAAAAGTCGAAAAACGTCGCTAAGTAGTAGTGTTTGGGCATTCTAAATTGGTATGGGAACTTTCGACCAGCTGAGACAATTTTTGAACCCCTTCATATAACGAACGCTGAAGTTCACACAACAAAAAGGTATAATTATCAATGCTTTACGAAGAAAATTATGTCATTATAGTAATGTAACAATAAAAAAATTGATTGTATCAAATTTAGACCGCCTCGGCTCATTTTTTGGATCTTACCCTAATAAGAATTTTCATGAAAATTGACCTTTTGTCGAGCAGAAAAGTCTAAGCTTTAATATATGGTGATAAAAATTGACCCTTAATAGTAATTTCATACAAAAATGAACTCTACAACCATTCAGGCCTATTCCATTCCTGTCCCATGCATTAAACTTGTACTACATTAGTTTGCGTTTTGGGCCCCCTTTCCCCATAAATACGCAAATGAAAAATATGACTTCATATAGAAACAAGATATAATCATAAAAATAGGAATTGTGTTAGACAATGTGGTGTTTGGTATTTAATGGTGATCGCCATGCCCGACTATAACATTCTTACTTGTTCTACACTTGCCATCCTGCAAGAAAAATCGAAATTAGCAAACTATGTAGAATAACATGCAGAAAACGTAGAATATTATGCTGAAAACCTTATTATATTGTAAGGTAAACTGCCCTTTGCGGTTTTACGTTTCTATCCGAAATTTTTCGATATTAAATTTTCCTAGATAAATAAATCTTCGCGCTACTAAGTCGACTATGTGTCGACAAGGAGTCCATTAATTAGTTAGTGGTAGGTAAGAAAAGAAAAACAAAAACAAAATTGGGAGGTAAAGTAAATTTCTTTTTCCATTGGAAATATATGGAAATTTGCACCAGAGTTCGAATACAATTTTTATCTAAGACTTTACAAGGTATTAGAAGAGATGAGATTCTCAGCGAGTTTTCGCTTGAGTACACAATCGCAAGATGCTTTATTTTCACAAACATGTTACGCGTTAATGTTTATTTTTAAATTCCCCAAAATATATTCTATTTGTCAAATTTTTATTTAAGAAGACATTGTAGTTTTCTTATCTTTTAATAGGATGAGAGACGGGGAGGAGGGGGAATCTATTGAAATATTTAGCATTTCTATTAGATGGTTTCAGTAAACAACGAGAAGAAGACAAGGAATCGCTGAAACGAATATATAAGTTACGTATTTTCTCAAAGCATAATTATGACTTTTAATTTCGCCTACAAATATAAATTCATTAGGCAACGAAAACAATGAAAATGTTTTTACGTCAACTTTTGGATATTAATCATGTTTTACATGGAAATGGAATTTATTAAAAACGTTCTTTATAGATATAACATCATCATCTAAGATCGTGCAGTTCGTGATGCTAAACATTCTCAATTAGCGTAAGAATTTAATTTTATACATATATATATATATATATATATATATATATATATATATATAGTTTCTTAGTTTCCCCTTTAAAGAAGGTTCACGGGTTTGTCGTTACCTGAACTCTCTTTGAAATGAATTAAAGTTGGGGGCAAGAGTGCGTTATATTCTACAAACTAGTTAGTGGTAAAACTAGCTCAACAAAGACCTGTTTCCTGAACCCGTTTTCAATAACGACGATATACATATTTGGCAATATTTTTCCTTCTCTTTTTTCTTCTCTTTTTATATGCCTTAAATGAATAGGGATATGTAAATCGTAATGTTGAAAAGTAATACAAATCTTTTCTTTCAAAGATTAGTGTTAAAGATTTAAGAAAATCAAATGATGCTCCGCATGCTGCAAACATTTGAAATTTGGTTGTAAAACGATGGCGCTGGTCTGAAGTAAAGAAAATATTCTTCCACTTGTCACGAGGACAAAACCGCTGTTCCTGGAATAAATTCAAACCTAATTTCAGAATTTCTGCAAAGGATTACGTCCTATAACTACTACTACTACTACTACTACTACTAGTACTACTAAAATCTCGGTCTTTTGTTTCATTAAATGATGAACAAGATCGGAAAAATGTTAACTTGGAAGGAAAATCTTTTTCATTGGCTTGATGCGGGGTATTCTTTCTTTTTATTGAACATACAACACACATCTTCACGGAGCTACATTAACAAGCAGTCCTGTACAAATCATTTTCTCCGGTAACAAAACTCTCAATGCTAAGAGACAATCGACTAAAAAAATTAAAACGCTATTCTCTCTATTTGAGCATAAATCACGGGCGTTATTACGAAACTACCGTCACTTGAAGGGGAAGAAGAGATGAGCTTCTGAAGTGAGTACTATTCCTTACAATGTACATACCCTGATGGTTTTCCAGCAATTACATCAACAGAACAATAAACAGGGCAAGGCAGATTAAGGAACATGCAGCGTTTTCAAGGATTTCGCGTAACACAAGAAATTAGCCGACACCCAACTAACAACGCCATACAAATTTCACATGACAAAATCGCTCTTCTTCATTGTAACTAACAATTGGTTTAGCAGCTCTTTTTTGAAATATAACACTAACCGATAAGCGCTTGCATTATAAAGACGAAGAAGAGTTACCAAACACCCTTTAAGCCAATGCTCACTTTGAACGGTGCTTTTCCTCCATCCAAAATCACTGCTTCATCAATAATCGAACCTTGGATCTTTTCACTCTTTCAATAATAATAAAAGCATTGCCGCTAAAAACGTGGGAATTTGTAAATAAACGATCAAAACGGTATGAAATTTTGATAAGCATGGTGTCAATATTGGAGTTGTTGCATGGAAACGACGCCTACGAAGCAGTCCCAGGAATTATTGACCGATGTATTATCACTTACAGCCCTCACAAATTTAAAATAAGCAAAAAAAATTATGTTCTCCATTGCGTGCCTGGATATGAAATATTAAAAGTGTTTTACTTAATCTACGGATCCGGATGTGTAATAGTTTTGGCGTTAATATCCGCTATAAATTATTGCTTGTAATTTTTTGTTCACTGCAAGTACAAGAAGGTCTTGTACCAAGTATTTTAAATGGTCTCAGTAAATGTTTACACCACGTTTTTTATTATTTCATACCACGTTTTATATGAGTTAGTCGATCGATGAAGAAAATGATGTTGAAAAATCGGCGCGTTGTATTTACCTCATGCGTTCACAATCCAGATGGAACTAAAACAACCTCGGAAAACAGCGAAAATATTTGCAAATTTTCGTCTATAACTTTCGATTCCGCGAATATATTTGTGAAAAGCTACTCGAATGTTCGCTAAAACCTGTCTGCATGGCCAGTTCAAAAATGATCCCGATCGGCTTACTGATGTGTCCGCAAATAACAACAAAATTTTATTTACAACTTGTTTCACATTTATTGTAACATACATTGGACTGGATTTTATTGCAAATTTAGTATCAAATGATTTGTGATCGTCAACTAAAAACATACGAG